CACGGCCAATCCACCCTAACCTGCACATCCCTGGGCACTATGGGACAATTTAGCACGGCCAATCCACTCTAACCTGCACATCCCTGGGCACTATGGGACAATTTAGCACCGCCAATCCACCCTAACCTGCACATCTTTGGACTGTGGGAGGAAACCGGAACACCCGGAAGAAACCCATACAGACACGGGGAGAATGTGCAAACTCCCACACAGACAGTCACCTGAGGCTGGAATCAAATCCGGGTTGCTTGCGCTGGGAGGCAGCAGTGCTAACCACCGAGCTACTGTGCTGCCCAAATTAGGCAAGCAAATTAATATACACATGAACAACTTAACCTGCCACCCCTCTCCTCCCACAGCCCCTCCTGCAAACTCTGCCCATCCATTTAATTCCCTTTTGCAGCCAGTGTGCACTTCAATAAAAAGAAGAAAGTTACCTTCACACGAAGTCTGATGATTGGACAGGCGGTAGCCAGGGCGACAGCGACACTGGAAGGACCCCTCCGTGTTCAAACAGCGGCCATTGGCGCAGAGCTGCCCATCACTGCACTCATTAATGTCTACAGCAAGGTGCACAAAACAAGTTGGGAGACAAATCAGAACTCAGATGGAGAATGAAAACAAAGTGGGAACAATGCACAGACAGCATCTATTACTGCAAGAGAAAAGCCTCAGAATGAGGCCTAATGCAGAAGGGACAAGCGTAGGCCCCACAGTGAGATGTTTTGAGAGACTGACAGAATGGAAGACTGGTGGGGTACCGCAGGGATCTGTGCTTGGCTCCCAGCTATTCACAATCTCAATCAACAATTTGAATAAGTTTGCTGATGCCGTGATTGTTAGGAGGTCAGAATAGGAGCTCCCTGACTGGGGCTGCTAATCTGGTCCAATCAGGGAGTCCTGGCTGACAGGCGCGAACAGGAGTGGGAAAGGTCAACAAAAACAAGAAATTGCTGGGAAAAGCTCAGCAGGTCCGGCAGCATCAGTGAGGAGAAATCAGAGTTAACGTTTCGCGACCCTTCCTCAGAACGGTGTCAGATGTTCTTTGCACTCCGAGAGCTGGTCCTGAGGAAGACAGACCGGCACCAAGTGCTATGCATGTGTAAATAAAGGTTGACGGGATACCGGTCTCTGTGGAGTTATTTTAGCTGACAACACGAAAACCAGGAGTTTGAGAGTGGTGCGCTAGCAAGCAAAGACTATTCAAGGCGATATAGGCAGCTTGAGTCAGTGGGCAAATACATAGCAAATGCAGTATTACTTGGATAAGGGTGGAATTACCCAATCCTGTTGGAAAAGCACTCTGGCAGAGTATTACATGAATGGTGATAGATTGGAAAGCATCGATGTACATAAGGATCTGTGTGTTCTTTTTACATCAGTCACTGAAAGCAAAAATACAGGTGCAGCATGCACTTGGGAAAGCACACAGCATGTTAGCCTTCCCTGCAGGAGGATTTGGATACAGGAGCGAGGAAGTCTTACTACAGATCTTTGGTGAGTCTGCACCCCAGAGTATCGTGTGCGGTTTTTGGACTCCTTACCTAAAGAAAGGTAAACTTGCCATCGAGGGCATGCAGCAAACGTTCATGGGACTGAATCCTGGGATGGTTGCTTTGCAATGTCGAGAGAGGTTGGCCCCCAAAACTGGACAGTAAAAATTTCTTCTCTGAAAGCAACAAATGCTGGAGATCACAGCAGGTCAGGCAGCGTCCGTGGACAGAGAGAGAGCAAACTAACATTTTGCATCTAGAGGACTCATCATCAGAGTTGACGTGAAGTGTGGAGGGGGGAGAGCATTTATGCTGTAGTTGAGGAGGAGAGGGGAGATGGAGTGTTGGGGGAGGAAGGGTGAGGATATTTCAGATTAAGTGATGGGAATGTGAGAATGGCAGAACAATGGGTGTATCTAACTGCCAGACTGGGAAGGACAGACAGTCCCCACTGGGGTCGGGTGGGGGAGGAGAGGGGAGAGAGGACATGGTGTCAGAGAATGTAACACGCGAAGCTAAACGAAAGGGAAGGAGTGTGCGTGGGTTCACAGTTTGAAGCTGTTGAACTCAATATTGAGCCCAGAAGGTTGTAAAGTGCCTAGTTTGAAGATGAGATGTTGTTCTTCCAGTTTGCGCTCTGATTCACTGCAGCAGGCCGAGGACAGACACATGAGCACGCTGTGTTAAAATAAATCGGCTACAGGAAGGTCAGGGGTCATGCTTGTGCACAGACCGGAGGCGTTCTGCAATCCAGTGACCCAGTTTGGTTTCTCCAATGTACTGTAGGCCACATTGGGTACAGCGGATGCAATACACAAAGATTGGAGGAGGTCCAGGTGAAATGCTGCTTCACCTGGAAAGACTGCTTAGGCCCTTGGATGGTGAGCAGGGAGGAGGTGAAGGGGCACTCATGGAGTAATGCAATTCTCTACGACACGAGGCAGTGGAGGCTTATGGAGACACAGTGGGAGCTTGGCACTGAAACAGAGGATTGTACTGAACGGTGGAATAGGCTTGATGGGCCAAAGGGCCTACTCCTGCTCCGATTTTCTAGGAACCAGAGTGAGAGCGTTATTCAGAAAAGAACATAGCAGGCCCACACTGAGACTTAATACGTTGAGGGGCAAACACAGCACGGTCTAATGTGAAGCCTGTTACTGTAGAGGCAAATGATAACCCTCACAAAGGGGAATAAAACAGTGAAGAAAGAAGTTGCAGTGTTTGTACACAGGGTCCATTTTAAAACATACAAGATCAGTGTGTGTCATTTATTCCACTGGCTTTTCCTACATCGAGGCCAGATTAGAGACATGGTCAGGCCCCAGAATGAGGCCTATTAGTGAGGACAGCACCGAACATTCCGATTACCTTGGCAGCTCTTCCCATCGGGCGCTGGTTTAAATCCTTTGCTACAAGTACAACTGTACGATCCCTTAGTGTTGATGCACTTTCCATTTAGGCAGAAAGATCGGTCCATGCACTCATCAACATCTGAGATTGAGAAAATACCGAGAGCATCAGTGATGGAACTGGACACAAACAAAGACATCAAAAACTAGAATGGACTGCTAAGCTGATACCTGACCTGGGACAGAGTAGAGGGAGCTTTACTCTGTATCTAACCCCGTGCTGTCCCTGTCCCGGGAGCGTTTGATGGGGAGACAGAGTAGAGGGAGCTTTACTCTGTATCTAACCCCATGCTGTCCCTGTCCCGGGAGTGTTTGATTGGGGGGTGGGGGGAACAGTGTAGAGGGAGCTTTGTTTTCTGTTTAAAAGTGTGGAGGAGGACTTATTTTCTGTTTAGAAGAGCAGAGGGAGCTTTACTCTGTACCTAACTCCTCTGGTGCGGGAATGGCTGAGTGGCCAGCGTGTAGGTGGGATTCTCTTAATCCTAAAACCATCTTTTGCGGTTCTGAATGGCTTGCTCCCACCGAAGTGACTCAGTCCCTTCACCTCACCAAAGTGATTCTCCCTCCCATAATGTCGATGAGTCCCCCTCTCCTCACTGGAGAGGCCCCGTACTTACCATAGCACTCTCCGGTCTGACTTCGGAATCCCTCTGGGCAGGGAACGCACTCATATGTGCCGGGTTTATTCTTGCATTTTCCCCTTGGGCAGGTATTTAGATTGTTGCACTCATTAATATCTAGGATAAGGATCAGAAGTTACAGGCGGTACATTTGACAATCGGGAATCCATCAGACACGAGCCAAAAAAAAAAACCTGAAACTATTGAAGGAATCTTAATCAGGCAATTTAATTCCTGCGCTAAAAACCCGAAAGAACTGCGGATGCTGTAAATCAGTCAGAAACAAAAACAGAAAGTGTTGCAGGGCTGGCAGCAACGGTGGAGGGAAATCTGAGTTGACGTTTCGGGTCGAGTGACCCTTCCTCAGAACTGAGGAACTCTCAATCCCTTTCTTTATAACTCTTTTGTTACCCGGCAATGTCCTGGTAACTCTCTTCTGAACCCTCTCCAGCTTCATAAAATCCTCCCTATAACAGGGAGACCGGAACCGGACACAGTACTCCAGAAAAGGCCTCACCAACGTCCTGTACAACCTCAATATGACTCCTAGACTCAAGAAACATTCTCTCTAATCCCTTCCTTGCTGTGTGTACTGTACATTTACACTGACATTTATTTGTTTCTGGGATTTTACGTCCATTCCTAACTGACCTTGAAGCAGGCAGATAGGCAGGCCGTTGCAGGGGGGAGCTGTTAAGAGTCAACCATGGTCTGGAGTCACGTGTAGGCCGGATCAGATGAGTATGGCAGATTTCCCGGGATTAGTGAATCCAGAAAGGTTTTTATGACAATCGATGATCGTTTTGCGATCGCCATCCCTGAAGCTAGCTCTTAATTCCAAAATGTATGAATTGAATATTAACCTGGGGCTGGGCACTGCCCAGTGACACTACCGCTGTGCCAGGATCGCCCTCCAGAGAGATACCTAGCCAGACGTATTAGATAGGCAGAGATAACAAGGTGTAGAGCTGGATGAACACAGCAGGCCAAGCAGCATCAGAGGAGCAGGAAGTCTGACGTTGCGGGCCTAGGCCCTTCTTCAGAAAATGATAGGCATATGGATGATAGTATAAGGTAGGGGTGGAGGTTAGATAGACCTTGGGTTTAGGGTGAAAGTTCGGCAGAACATCATGGGCCGAAGGGCCTGTACAGTGCTGTACTGCTCTATATTACAGCTCCCCATTAACAGTCATGTGTTGCACATGCATGGGAAATGGCAGTGGGCGTCTGCAGTGCATCGGAGGGAGTTGGGTGAAGTTGGGGGGGGTGGTGCGGTTGTTGAGGTGAGGGGCAGCTTTACCTTCGCAAGAGATAGCGGGAACTGCAGATGCTGGAGAATCTGAGATAACAAGGTGTAGAGCTGGATGAACACAGCAGGCCAAGCAGCATCAGAGGAGCAGAAAGGCAGACGTTTCGGGCCTAGACCCTTACCTTCGCAAGCCGTCTGGTGGCTGACCGGGCGATAGCCAGGTTGGCAGCGACAGTAGAAGGAGCCCTCGGTGTTCAGGCACTGCCCGTTGGCGCACAAGCGGCTGTCGGCGCATTCGTTAACGTCTGAGATGCAGGGGAGACACACGAGTCAGCGGGCTGATGGGAAACACGCGCCCAGTGGAAA